TCAGGTAAAACTTCATTCAAACCTACTGTGTTGCTCAAGAAAATATTCCTTATGGAGTCAACTGGAAGTGCTGGTGTGGGTCTATGTAATTGACTACAGGACTCTAGCAGGTGCTGAAGGAATTGGGAAACTGAGAACTTGGCACTGTGGGTGAGGTGTCATTGCAATAGCTGTCCAGAGGCGGGGGCTTGAGCTAAGTGAGTCCTCAACTGCTCCCAAGCCCAGCTCAAGGAGTCTCATTTCCCATCAATAATGCTGCCCACTTAACGCCCTAATAAAAATCTTAAATTAAAAAAAAAAAAGATCAATACACCAAAAAAAATAAGTTTTAAATTGGCATGTGCCTAATTAACACAGCCTTAAAACAAATAAAAAAGACAGACAGACAAGTTCACAATCATAGTGGAAAATTTAAACAGCAGTCTCAGTAAAGATACAGATTTGAACAGCGTGACTAACAAACTTGATTTTATATAGAACACTCTTTCCAACAGCTGTAAACTGCAGAGTATACATTCTTTTCATTGCACATGGAAATTTTACCATTGACCACAGAATGAGCTATAAAGGAAGTTTCAACAAATTTCAAAGGGTTTATATAATACAGAATAGGGTGTGTGTGTGTGTGTGTGTGTGTGTGTGTGTGTGTGTGTGTGTGTGTGTGTGTGATTTTCCTTATCCATTCATCTGTCAGTGGACACTTAGGTTGTTTCCATATCTTGGCTGTTTGTGAATAATGCTTCAGTACACATGGGAATACAGATGTCTTTGAGATAATGATTTTCTTTCCTTCAGATATATACCCAGAAGTGGGATTGCTGGATCACATAGTTCTATTTTTAATTTTTTTGAGTAACCTCCATACTGTTTTCCATAATGGCTGTACCAATTTATATTCCCACCAACAGTATATAAAAGTTCCCTTTTCTCCACATCCTTGTCAACATTTGCAATCTCTTGTCTTTTTTTATAAAAGTCATCATAACATGTGTGAGGTGATATCTCATTGTGGTTTTGATTTGCATTTCCCTGATGATTAGTGATGTTGAGCATCTTTCATGTACTTCTTGGCCATTTGTATGTCTTCTTTGGGAAGATGTCTGTTCAGGTCCTTTGCTCATTTTTTAATCAGATTATTTGATTTGCTTTTGAGTGTATTAGTTCCTTATATATTTTGGATATTAACCCCTTACCAAATATATGATTTGCAAATATTTTCTCCCATTCCGTAGATTTCCTTTTCAACGTATCAATTGTTTCCTTTACTGTGCAGAAGCTGTTTAGTTAATAAGATGTAGTCCCACTTATTTATTTTAGCTTTTGTAGCCTATGCTTTTGGTGTCTTATCCAAACATCATTGCCAAGACCAATGTGAAAGAGCTATTTCTCGATATTTTCTTCTAGGAGTTTTATGGTTTCGGGTCTTACATTTAAGTCTTTAATACATTTTGAGTTAATTTTTGTGAGTGGTGTAAGATAGGGGTCTAGTTTCATTCTTTTGCACATGTATATCTAATTTTCCCACCACCACGTACTGAAGAAACTATCCTCTCCCCATTGTGTGTTCTTGGCACCTCTGTGAAAGATTATTTGACCACATAAGCACGGGTTTATTTCTGGGCTCTCCATTCTGTTTCATTGGTCTGTATGCTTGTTTTTAATGCCAGTACAACCCATAAAATGAATACAATGTAAACATTAAAGTAGTGGTATAGACCTATATTTTTGATATGGAAAATTGTCTATGTCACATTGTTGAATAAAACAATAAAGTCACAAACAAAAAGTATAGTATATGTGTATATTCACAGAGAGAGGCATTTTAAGGGATGTTCATTTCTGAACGGGAAGATTTCAAGTGATTTTTACTTTGTTCTTTATACTTTATGGTATTGGTTTTTTTTATTATACTATTATTTATTCTTATAATAAAAATATTTTATTTTCATCTAAGGGCTTGCTGAACCATTTTTATCTTGTTTACAAAATATCCTCTCCTTTACATTTGTATAATTCATGCCCTATTTCAGGTCTTCATTATTTATTGCAATAGCCATGTAGTAACAACTGTTGTCCTTTCTTAATAGTAATAACACATAATATCTGTGTACTACTTCCCAGTTTAAAGTACTTTCAATACATTATCCTCACTGAGGCTCAAAAACAATCTTATGAGTAGGTACTGTATTGTCATTTATGGAAACAAAACAAAACAAAACAAAACAAAAACAAGTTACTGAACTTGAAGGAAACTTCTAACTCAAATTCCAAGTATTTCTCATTACATCATGCTGGACCTAGGCTGATTTGGGTTAAGGATAAACTTAAGCTCCTTAACATGGTCTGAATATAATAAGAAGTACAGTATATTTCCCAGAACTGAAAGGACCCTGAGGTAACAGGAATGCAGAGTTGAGACTGGCGAGGCCTTAGATGCTATTTTTAAGGAGTTAAAATTTATCCCAAAGGCAATGGGAAGCTACTAAAGGGTTTTAAATATAAGAATCAAATCGTGAATTATCATTGTTTTGACCTGAAGTCTGCAAAATTTTTCTGTAGCTAGCCAGATAGTAAATATTTTAAGATTTACTACTCAGTTCTGTCAGTGTAGAGCAAAAACAGTCACAGACAATACACAAACATAAACAAATGAGGTTGGTTCTACTCCAAAAAAACTTCATTCATAGACACTGGAATTTGAATTTGAATATATGTTTTTAAGTGTTATATAATACTGTTCTTTTTATTTTTTTCCAATGATTTAAAATGGTAAAAACCCATTCTTGGGCTAGATTTGGCTGGCAGGCCACAGTTTATTACACCTAGTTTAGGTGATCACTTAGGCTACACAGGAAAGGAAACAAAGAGGCAGGTCATTACAGGCCCATTTCCTCAGGTACAGCCCTCACATATTGACTTTTTAATATTCAAGGCCTGTTGATGTCACGCTATACGTCTTTTATCTCTCTACTACTGATGCTAATAAAAAGACTGTTTTCAGGTTAACTAATACACTTTTTTGGTGATCCCTTTGTGTTCCATGTGATGTCAATTTTAGTCTTTTTGGACGAGATAACTTCTCACATACAAGGTAGAAAATTATTTATGTGCAGAGATAATCCTCTTTACCTTATAAATTTTTAAATTCACAGAGATGATATTTCTCAGTATATAGGCTAGACCTATAGACCTCTGGCTAGATGATCATTTAAATAGTAACAACTGATCTATTAGAAAACATGATAAATTCTTTTAGACAATTTCAACATGGCCTCAAATATATATTGTAGATTCATGAGCTTAAATTTAACTTTGAGGCCTTAAGGCTCTCCTAGGACTCAATGCCTCCTTAATATATACCTTGGGGCTATAAATAAGCAAAGTCACATATGAAGAGTAAGATGAAACTTTCTGAATAATGATTGTTCGCTTTTACAAATAAAAAGGAAAGTAAAACTATTTCTCCTCTCTTATTTTAGGTTCTTACCTTTTACATATAAAAATCACTATGGGTTAGGGTTAGGGTTAGCCTATCAGCAGAAAGGCTACTTGAATTAAAGAGATTTAAATTAACATGAAGACTTTATATTATTACTGGCTAAACTGAGACTAAATGCTGAAACAGATATGATTTGAAGAAAGTTTAGAAGATGGCTTTGATGATTATATATTGATAATAAAGCAGTCACAATTACAGAACAACATAATAAATTGAGAAAGTTTGCCAGACACTAATATTTAAATATTAAATATCTTCAGTTCTTATCTTGTCTAAAATAAGATTGGGACTATAGACACAAAAAAATAAAGACGTGAAGAAAATCTACTTTTACTGGGATGAGTAGCAGCAGAGGTGAGAAGGTGGAGGTAAAGAGGGAAAATCAATAGGGTCATATAATGTAAAAATTGTTGTAATTAAGTTTCTGACATTGTGATGTCTTCATGCATAGATTTTGGTGAAAATACTAAAACCTTCCCTCAATATACTAATATGCTTGCTCAATTTGGTAACAGAATACAGATGACAAACAAATAACTGAAGGTTCATACTGTTGCAATAATTAGAAAGATTTTTTCATGATCAATGAAAACATAACAATGATACAAAGTTAGAATTTAAATAACAAACTTAGTCCAAAGACAAGTGACCTAATGTCATGAACCCATATTAAGATCTAAAGCATCACAGCTTAATTTAAACTACAAAATGCCTTCATTATGCAGAAGATTCAGGTAAAAGAGCCTTCCAGAAGTTTTTGTTGTTTTCAAGGCATGTTTGCTTTCTTGTTTCTTTGACAACAATGAAATCTCTGTGGAGCAGAATTCACTGGGAAACCAGGAAATGAACCTCACCTTTGTTCATCTCATCTCACTGTGACATTGTGGTGAAAGATCTTATAGAATAAAATAACCTGATACAGAGCACGAAGATCTATAAGAAACTGGTCGATTTTACTGTTTGTAGCTAATAAATGGGAGGACTAAAGTGTGTGTGAATTTATAATCTCTTGGGTCCACTTTACACTGCAGTTATTTTAAAAATACAAGCGAGGACAGTCATAATTTGTTACTTTAAACTAAAATCTAAGGGACAAACTGAGCACATTCAAGATATATGGGATATGTTTTGCCCTATGTCCTGGCTTCTGTAGCTGTACTTCTTCGGAGAATGGATTAGAAAGACATTTAAGCTTATTAGGTAGAAAGGTGTCATTCCCTCATATCAAGGTACATGAAGAGAAAAGTTCAAGAATTATAAATTCTTAGAAAACATAAAAAATCCTTTGGGCCCTGGGAAATAAAATGTCAAGAAGTCAAAAGAGACTAGATGGCTATTGACCAGTTTCATGAAGGCAAAGCTGCAAGCCAAGATGGAATAATGCTTTCCTACCACGTGTCTAAGGCACAAATGACACTAATCTTTTTTAATGGTCACAAAAGCTGACAACTTACTCATCCTTAGAACTGAAGGCACAAAATCATCTCTGGGAGTGACTCACCATAAACAGGTCACGAGCACCAATGTCAACAGCTAACAGAAATGCCTTTTCAAATCTCTGGTACCTAGGGAAGGAAAGAAACGTTATGTTAGTTATGAACAAAACTAAAAGGAGAAAGCTGTTTTTTTAATGTATTTATGTGTTATTGTTTTTGTTATGATGGAAAAAATAGTTTCAAACAGCAGGGCCTTTACCTACTGGGATCTTCTGTAATGTGAACTGTCATTGCACTTAGGACAAGCTGAGGCACAGAGCCTATGAAGGCCTTCAGTGCAGCTTTCAAGGATAAACATAACCCCGAGGGGGTGCTGCTGAATGGAGGTAAAGGATAGCTTAGGAAATACGTTTCATAGGTTCTCACTTTATTGTGCTTTGTAAGAGAAAAGTATGGGGGTATGGAAAATATAGCAGGATAACAGTAATGTACAAATCACATAATTATACTGCTGTGTTTCTTAGTTAAAAGTTGAGACGTCAAATGTTACATTATTACAAAAGTCTCATGTTTGTAAATTTTGGAAAAAATACATTCTAGGCTGTTGTAAAATGACATTATAAGTTTCTAAATATGATTTTTTAAATGTTACTTTCCTTCTCTTTCCCTGAAGTACAATTTTGAGAATTTTCTTTGTGAAAGTTTAATTTTAGGCTAAATGAGAACAAACCACTGTTTGAATTAATTACCTCTATATAAAGTTTAGGATCTTGAGAAAAGGATGTCATGAACATGTACAGCTGACCCTTGAACAACAGGAGGGTTACTGGCACTAACCCCCTTATAGTTGAAAATCTGTGTATAACTTTTGACTCCCTAAAAACTTGATTACAGTTGGCCATTAGTATCCTTGGGGGATTGGCTCCAGGGCCCCTTGCAGATACCAAAACCTGTGGATGCTCATGTTCCTTATATAAGATGGTGTGGAACAATCTATACAATCAGCCCTCTGCACCTGCATGTTCCCAACCAGGATCAAAAATATTGTTTTAAATCAGGAGTTGGTTAAATCCGAGGATGCTAAACCTATGGATATGAAAGACTGATTGTATTTATTGAAAAAAATATGCACATAAGTGGACCCCGATGGCTCAAATGCATGTTGTTCAAGGGTTAACTGTATTTTGCACAGGGTTTTGGAAGGAAAGGTCATTTATATTTTGTTTGAATGCTAAGATTTACATAGGTATAACTGTCAGTTTTTCTGACTCTAGAAACAAGCAGGTAAATTAACAAGTTGTTCTTTGTTTTCTATTTTATATTGTGAAATATGGCGGTACAAACTATAATGAGATTTCAACTAAAACATCAGAAATATAGAATATTGATTAACAGATTATAAAAATTTTATTAGTGAAATACCTAAAATAATAAAAATTCAAACAGAAAAGGCTTATTCTTAAAACATATGCGCTAGTAGGTCCAGAATCTGAAATACTTCACAGTTTCCATGTTATGTTTGATGACTGTTATCTCCTCCTTGGCTCTTCTTACTGGCATCTCCAGTATTTGCCTGAATCCCTTTCAGCTATGGAAGATCAGAAGGCAACTGTGTTTATTTTTGTTTCAGGAAGACTACTGGTTCATTGCACATTCAGTGGAGGAGGGATGTAGGTGGAGAAAGAGAACAGTGGATTAGAAAATTATACTACTTTTGCATACAATCACTACCATTTTGCATTTGTTTCCACTCCAGTAAAACTTTCCTGGCAATAGTAATCATTCATCTTCTTGTAATGATCAAACTTAAAGATAAGTTCTTGTCTTGTGTGCCCTTTTGGCCACATCTGAACCTATAAACTTCCCTTCTCGAAACCTTCTCTTTCTGGCATTTGGAGATGCCATTCTTTGTTTTCCCATTTCTTAGATTTCATCTTCTTAGTCCCCTTTCTTACTTCATTTTTCTCTGCCTACTCAATGAAGTTGGCATACTATGGTCCTCTTTCGTTTATATATATTCACTCTCATCTCGCCCAATAACCTTACCCACTCTCACGGCATTAATAATTATATCAATGACTCACAAATGTCTAGGATCCACCTTTCTCCTGAGATCAAAGCTCTTGTTTCCAGGTACCTCAAATTTAACATGTCTAACATATCCACTGGTATTATTGTCCTTATTCCAATCTTTGCTTTTGTTTTAGATGTCCAACTGAATGTATTCAATTAATACCAGGCTGTTGCCAAAGTTTCCCCAGTCATTTGGTTTGATGAAGCTTGTCCTATAATAGCTATCACTTATTAAGTATTAATACATGCCAGTCAATTCCTTAGAAGGGTTCAATTTTCCCAATATTTTTTCTTTTTTACCTTATTTGACAGCATGTAGCTTCAGAAGATAAAAAATCCTTGGTTTATTCCTTTTTTCCTTGAATATTTTTTAGCTATCACACCACTGTTGTCTTGTTGGCAGGAACTCTAATGTTAGACTGATTATTTTTTCCCTTTCAAAATGATTTAATGTTTTTGCCTAGAAACTCAGATGATACTTTATCTTTAAAAATCTATTAGTTCTACCAGGACATTTCTTGGAATTGACTATTTGGGTAAATTTTCCAGGTACAGAGTGGGCTCTTTCAATATGTAGACATAAGTCATTTATTTCATGAAAGATATCTTGAGTGTTTTTATTAATAACATCTTTAATGAGGTATAATTTATTTAGGATAAAATTCATCCCTTTTAAGTAAATAATCCTTGGCATTTAAACATATGTATACAGTCACATAACCACAGCCAAAATAAAGATGTATAACTTTTTCATCATCTCAAAAACTTCCCATGTGCTCCTTTACTGTCAATGCCCTTTTCCCACCTCCAGGCTCTGGCAACCACTGATCTATCTGGTTTCTATCTGGTCATTATAGTTTTGCTTTCTTCTAGAATGTCATATGTGTGGAATTAAATAGGATAAATTTTGTTCTGCCTTTTCAAGAATATGATATAAATGCAATCGTTCAGTATATAGTCTTTTGGATTGGTTTTTCCTATTTCTGCAAAAAAAAATAAATAAATAAAAGTGCCATTGGATTTGGGTAGGGGTTCCACTGAATTAGCAGACTTCTTTGGGTAGTACTGCCATCTTAACAGTAAGTCTTCCAATCCTTGAACATGGATGTCTTTATATTAGTTAAGTCTTCTTTATTTTTTTCAGCAATATTTTTTAGCTTTCAGTGTACAAGTTCCTCACTATCTTCGTTAAATTTATTAGTAGGTATTTTATTCTTTAGGATGCTATTGTAAATAGCTTTTTTTGTTTTGTTTTGTTTTTTTAGCTGAGCCATCCTGCCCTCTGTTGGCAGCTCAGCTTGGGCTGGGAATCGAACCACTGTTGCTCAGAGCGCACACTCTTGAGCAAGCTCTTAACCAACTGAGCCATTCGGCCGGTCCTTGTAAATAGTTTTCTTAATTTCCTTTTCGGATTGTTAACTGCTGGAGTGTAGATACACAACTCTTTTTTTGTATGTTGATCTTGTATACTGCAACCTTGTTGAATTAATTTATTAGGTAAGTAATTTTCATGTGGATTCTTTCTGATTTTTTAAATATAGAATCATTTGCAAATAGAGATAATTTTACTTTTTTTCCAATTTGGATACCTTTTATTTCTTTTCCTTGCCTAAATACTTAGGCTAGAACTTCTAGTACAATATTGAATAACAGTGATGAAGGTGGACATCCTTGTCTTGTTATTAATCACAGGGAGAAAGCTTTCAGTCTTTAACCACTGATTATGATGTTAGCTGTGGGATTTTCATAAATGGCTTTTATTATGTTGAAGTTTCCCTCCATTCCTAGTTGGCTGAGTGTTTTGAAAATGAAGGGTGTTAAATTTGTTCAAATATTTTTCTGTATCAATTCAGATGTTCATTTTTTTTCACTTCCTTCTATTAATGTGATATATTACATGAATATATTTATGTTGAACCATGCTTGCATTCCTGGAATAAATCCCATTTGTCACTGTATATAATCCTTTTATTATTGGATTTAGTTTGCTAGTATTTGGTTGTTGAGGATTTTTACATCTATGAGGTGTGATAAAAAAACATGGTGAATGTTTACATTAAAAATTTATTATAGTAAAAGACACATTGCCATTAATCCCCCTCAAAATACTCCCCCTCATTTTGAACATATTTATCCATCGTTCTTGCTACTTTCTGGAGCAGTTCTAGAAGTCCTCTTTTGTGAATGTGTTTAGTTGTGCTGTTGTGCCTGCCTCGATATCCTGAATCATTTTGACTTTGGGCAAGAGCCAGAAGTCTCATGGTGCCAGATCTGGTGAATAAAATGGATGAGGACACACCATAATACTTTTATTTGACAGAAGTTGCCATACCAGAAGTACTGTGTGACATGGAGCATTGTCATGATGGAGGATGAAGTAAAGACACTCATGAAAGAGGACTTCCTGTTTCAGAAAGTAACAAGAACGATGGGATAAATGTGTTCAAAGCGAGGGGGAAGTATTTTGAGAGGGATTAATGGCAATGTGTCTTTTACTGTAATAATTTTTTTTAAAATTTAAACAGTCACTATATCTTTTGATCACACTTTGTACTGGGCTGTCGGAAAAGTCATGACATATTTTTTCTTTTTCGTTGCAAAAAATGCATCATGACTTTTCCAACAACCCAATATATTAATCAGGGATATTTGTGTGCAGCTTTTTCTTGTGATGTCTGTCTTCATAGAATGAATTAGGAAGTCCTCCCTTCTTTGCTAAATTTTGGTAGCGTCTGAAAAAGATTGATGTTAATCTTTGTTTATACATTTTATATAATTAATCAGTGAAGCCATCTGGTCCTGGATATGTCTTTGTTTGGAGATTTCTGAATACCTATTCAATATCTTTACTTGTTATAGATCTGTTCAGATTGTCTATTTCTTATTGAGTTTGTGTTGGGACTTTGCATATTTGAAAGAATTTGCCCATTCCATCTATGTTATCTAATTTGCTGGCAAGACTACTGTTTGTAGTCTTGTCTTATAATCTCTTTTATTTCTGTAAGATTGATGTAATGTGCCAACTTTCACTTTTTATTTTAGTTCTGTCTTCCCTA